ACTCCAGTCTGGGTGACAGAGTGAGACTCCAACTCAAAAAAAAAAAAAATAATAATTATTTTGGAGACTGAGTTTCTACAATGAGAAAACTTTAGAAACGCCAAGATTTTCCTCACCTAAAAGCACAGGGAAATGATTAATTGCAAAAGTTTGGCACAGGGTTTGCAGAGGCACACTCCTGGAGGGCTTCTATAGGGTTTATTATGTTTATAATTTTTATTTTTACCTTTTAAAAAAATTTTTATTTTAAAATTGTGGGGCAAGATCATGGAACCAACCATGTTGTCCATTAAAAGAAGACTGGATTTTAAAAATGTGGTACATATACACAATGGAATATCATGCAGCCTTAATTTTTATTTTTAAAAAAATATTCTGGGCTTTTGTAGGTGGTTATAAAGCAGAAGGTAACATCAAAATGGAAAATTAAATTTGGCATGAATGAGTTGTTGAGAATGTCATAGTAAAAAGTCAGGGAGAAATAAGACTGTATCTACAAGAAATTAAGAACAAACAACCAACCCTAAAATCACAATTTGTCCTATCTGCTACTTTCTTGTGAGGCACACAAAATGCCCCTTTTGTAAACTTTAGGGACTTGTAAAAGTCTTAAAAGTTGTAAGTTACAATATATTGAGTGTTTACTACTTGTCAGGCCTTAGTTTTGAATAAAACTGTAGAGTTACAGTAGGTGTCTACTTTAATTCATCAGATTCACAAAACATAACCATACCCATGTTGTCTTTATCCTGCTTTGCCCATGAAGAGGTTTCCATTGTGGTACAGACTTCATGTCTGTCAGAAAATGGCAGTCAAAGCTACCCTGCCAAAAACAATAATAGTTTGGTGAAGTGATACCCAAACTACTAGTCAAGACCCTTAAAACAATGCCATCAATGACAACAATAGCAATTACTGTATATTACTATGCATCAAGCGTTGTGCTAGTTACTTTATATGTTGTGTATATCTATGTACATAGTTGTAGTTCCCACAACCATCTTGCAACGTGATTACAGAAATGTTTGTACAGATGGAGAAGCTGAGGTTTGGGGAGATTAGGCAATGTACCCAAGGTTATGTAGCTAAGCAGCAGAGTAAGATTCAAACCTAGTTCCTTCTGAATCCCAGAGTATTCTGGACTGCACACTGCCTATCAACATAGGAACAGGCTGGAATGATCAGGATATGGGGGGGGTAGTACCACACCTGCTTGTTTCATCATTCATTCAATTAACAAATATGCATTAAGTGCCATCTTCGTGTTAGATACAAAGGAGCACATTCCATTTACTAAGTAGAGGTCAGGAGCTGGAAAGGTACTGATTTTTAAGTTTATTAGGCCAGTAAAGTGTAAGATGAGAGATCTAGAGGGAGAGGAAAGGTCTAAGCGCACAGAGGACAGGTTAACCAAGGCTTGCAGGTTAACCCTCACATGCCAAGTATGTCTGCTTCTCCACAGGAATTTAAAAGTTCATTTTCCCTTCCCAAACTTTCATGACCACTGAGGCCTGAATTTTCTTTAGTAGTAGGTGCAAAATAGTGTGATTACTTGTAAGAAAAACCATATACTTTAGAACCAGAAATATCTACCTTAGAACCCTAGCTCTCCCAACTCACCAGTTGTTTAAATAGTTTTGGTTTCTTCGTCTGTAAATGAAGATAATGATTCTTGTCTCAAGTTGTTGTGAGAACTAAATAGAATATACCAAGCACCTTTGTTTCTTTTATATATTCAATTTCCTTAATTGTGCTTCCTTGTAGAGCAAGATAATCAATCATTCACAAACCAAACTTAGATATAACACAATCATATAAAACTCAGATCATTTTTCACTAAATTATATAATCTTGTTTACTTGCTTCTAACAAACTACTACCTTTGGATCTATGTGAGACAAATCAAACATTTCTGTTTAGAAACAGTCACTATTAGGCAACCCACTTGGGTCCCCTCCCACTGTGAGAGCTTTTTCTATCCTCTCAATAAATCCTGCTTTCTCGAAAAAAAAAAAGAAAAAAGAAAAGAAAAGAAACAGCCACTGCTGGTATTTTATGAGGGTCTATTTCATGACAAAATCATTTGATTTTCTTGGTTAAATTTCCTGAGAATATCTGATATTTTGGCACTGAAGTTTTCCCCTACCAAAAATAGTATATTTAATAGTATAAGCTAAGAAGGTGTGCATACATTCTGGCTGGTTAGAGGAGCCTTTGCCTTCCTGTGAAAGAAAAAATTAAATTCATAAACCCTCTGATTCCCTCAAAAGATCCAGAGATGGGGATACTATCAATTAAAACAGCTTGTTGATGCAGAAACTCAAGTTGGAGTTCAGAGTGATAAGATATGCTCTGATCATCCTGGAAATTCTTTCTGAATGAAACACCTAAGTCGGTAGTTTGTTCCTGTGCCATATTTCTTGCTCTGAGTAGATCTAAGTGGGTTTCAGAAAAATACAGAAGAGAAGATATACAGGCTATTTTCCCATTAAGTTATCTGAAGTGATATTTGACATTTAGATAGCAATGTGAATATTGCCTGTTATAGTTCAAAGTGATTCCGTCCAATATCATTCAAAAGGAGAAACTACAGTCCAAGTAGGTCAAATAAATTTGTTCAAGATTTTACAGTTACTGTCAGAGCTGAGATGAGGACTCAGGCTTCTTGCAACTTAGAATATAAAATAATTTATTCGTTGAGATAATCTGACTAGAAATGTGCAAAAAAAAGTCATTAAGATTCCAATCAGTGGATTTATAAAAGAGCAGTATACCTATAAAATGAATGATGGCTGTTCTATTACAGGAAAACAATTTTAGAAGAAGGAAAGGATGGTTTTGGTTTATTTATTTCAAAGTATCACCTACATTCATTTTTATTTATACACATTTCATCTATTATCATTTTACCTAAACATGTTTTGTATGTTTATGGTGAATTGTGGTAATAGATTAAAATATGTTAATTGTATCAACATAAGATTTAAAAACTGCTTGATGTATTTATCCTTATATTATTGCCACTTGGACCCTTGTTTTCTGAAATTTCATAGTTTTCAATTACCCACATCAAAAGAGCCAAATAATAGTACATGTATATAATCATGATAAAAAACAAAAGTGTCTGTATATACAGGACAATTAAGAAAATGTCCATATGGAGAAAATATTTTCACAGAAAACTTGTATCAACAGATACCTAATTTTGAAATTAGATTATAAAATAGTGGAAATACTATTTTTAAAGGAAAAAATACAGCATTACACAGTGCTCTGAAAGTATTGTATAATATTACCTACCTGCTTTTTTGTGAGATTTGTTCCAGCTTCTTGGCTAATGTACAGCATTCTTCCTTTAACTTTGTCAAAAATGTATTCTGGGAGGTCAGCAACGAATACTGTTCATTTTCTAGAAATAACAATAAGTCCCCACCAACATAAGATGTTTATGGCTGTAGTTCTACAGTGCTTCCATATGTAGAGTGGTAAAGTGCTCAGACCACTACACATTTTCTGTCAGCCACTAGATCAGTTTAAATGTTCTAAGTCAAAGGACCTATCATCTGGCAAAACACTAAATTTTGTGAGCCATTTATTTTCATAATAATTATACACCAGAAATATTTTTGATCATACCAACTTGGTGTAACACTTTAATTTGTTAATAAATTGTCAAATACCTCAAGTGGAGATATAGATTAGATGTTTATAGCTTTGTAATATTCAAGATATTATATTTTCATTTTGACAACTTTACTATAAACAGAATGTCAAAAATTCTCACGACCAGATAATTCAAAACTAAAATAATCAAGGAACTCTCTCCTGCACTGTAATTCATGCTTTGTTTCAAATTTGCATACATGGTTTACTACCACCCCTCCATCTTGCATATACTTTCCTAATTATGAAGGTGAAATGTGTGATTTTCCTAAGAATTTTGATTTCATTGTCAATAGCATGAACTTCAATGGCGCTTTGGCAAAAAAATTCACAAAGTGTGTTTTTTATGTGTGTGTGTAAAATAAAAGGAAGTGTTCTTTAACAATTAAATAGTCTAATCTAGCACTCAGATTCTACCCAAGACTGTGATCACCAGGGTCCTGCTAGCACTAGGGGCAAACAATAATTTATCCCATAATTTCGCTTTTTTTTTTTTCAGTGGAAAAACATTTCCTAAAGCCAGGGAATGTTCATTTCTTCTGGCCAAAGGCTGTTAGAAGAAAATCTCTACTCAAAGTGCTGGAGAGAATTTTGTGAGTCAATATGACACTTGCTTCTTTATAAGTAAATAGGTTATTTAATGAATTTCATGTTAACAATTTTCACCTATAGGATAAGAAATAATTTTTACTGTATCAACAAATACAATATACATTAAATCATGTGAAAATTGCCTCTAAGCATAAGTTTTAATAGGCCCTTTATTTCGTTTCAATTTTAGCTAATGATTGGCAAAAAGCATATAGCATACAAATCAAAATAAATCAAGGCACTAAAATTAAGCAACACTTTTCTGGAAGAGACAGGATCAATTAAACTTTTGTTTTAATAGTACAATCAGTGTGGAGTATGTGGTGTGGAATTATAATGACTGACACTGTCTTGTTTTGACTAACACTGTCTGTGAACACACAACTCAAAAGTGAAAGAAACTACATAATGCTCTGACTGAACAAATCAAACTGCCTATTTTCAAAGTGCATTTTACTTTCAAATTAAAGGTAAAGAGTTACTGGCCAACTCAGTCTGCAGAATAGTGCCAATGTGATGAAAGATGGCAATTTTTAGCCAAGCTGCCAGCTGTGGTCAATGCCTTGTATTAGTGAATTTTAACAGCAGTTGTGAGAACTTGAAGAATGCAAAGGATTAAACATCACTCTAGATTGGGTTGGGGGAGGTGGGGAAATCATACAAATGCTAAAAATGTTCGAAGCTGCAAAGATTAAATAAAGGAACATATCAATTTGGAGCCACTGAATTACATCCAGCTGCGACAGTGAATTAAGAACCGATTAATGGCTAAAGCTTTTCTCCAGTTTGGATGCTGAAGCAAACTCATTAGGCTTTTAGAGTAGCTATAATGTGTGTACTGTGGGAACTGTTCAATGCTATTCAGGAGACTCTAACTGTAAGCTCAGAGCATTTCCCGCAGAGCTTCTGATGCTATTTTCTTTATATAACATGTGTGCCTGAAAACCCAGCCAAAAACAAGCCCTTTGTTTTTCTACTTTGTTGTGGTCTCTCTCAGCTTTACGTTTCTTGAACACAGGTAAATAAACTCATAATCCAGATGGTGCAACAGATGTGAGAGCAGCACTCTGAAATCAACAGACAGTGGGCAATACTTTCCATTTTCTCTTTTAAACGCTAACTAATATGTAATTCGGAATCTCCGGTGTAGTTAGCATCTGCTCCCTTCGGCCAGCCAAAGGTTACAGGTGTTCCTGATGTCATTTCACAGTAAGGCGTGGGCCTGGCTTGTGAGCAAGTGCCCAGGCTCTAATCTTTCCCTACCACCTACCAGTTTTGTCATGCTGGGCCTCCATTTGCTGTATCTTCTGTGTCAGCTCCTGCTCTCTTTGCTGGGCCTGAAGGGCTTGGGCCTTTGCTTCGTTGCTAAAGCTCTGCTGAATGCTGTCTTTTTCCAGTCTGCAAAACAGAGAGGAGACATACAGAAATTTAATCTGCAGATGCACAAATCCCCATCTTCCCCCCCACAGACCACAGAGAGCTGAGATGTAATAAACTATTAAGCACAAAAAGACAACAATCTTTCTTCAGACCTTCCCCACATTTAGAAGGAAAATCCAAAGGACCTTTCATGTGATGTTAAATATGTGCCATAAATCCAAATGGACTAAAGTATGCAGCTACAAAAATTAAAAAAAAAATCATGACCACTGAGTCATGGCATTTTGTACTTTAAAGCATGAACACCTTTTTTCTCTAACATTCTTAATGTTTTGCACTATCAATTAATCTTTCACCTTCTGAGTGGTCGATATTTCATAAAGATACTGGAGTTCTAGGAAAAGCATGCCTTAATTCTTAATTTAAATAAAACTTACATTCTTAAAATTAAGCTTATAGTTCACTTCTGTTTTTACTCCAGAACTTAAAATGGAATCTCAAATATAATCGAGGAGACTCTATCTAGAGGCAAGTAAATGATTCTGCAGCACCACATGCATGCTTTCATTAAATATTTTCACACATCAGGCCATATAATGTGAATATAAATATGAACATGAAAATGAGTAACTTCCTCCAGCACTTCATAATAAAATCCCTCTTGGGTCACATTGAAAGAAATTACAGGACGAAGAGCTTCCAAAGCTTTTCAAAGACAACATCCCATCCCACTGTGATAGAACACTGACCTAGCCCATTGGATCAATCTCCAACCACAGTGGCTCCTAAAGAGAGAAACTTCCTAAGCAATTAGAACCTGAGGAATGTAAAGGACCTCGTTTCTGGCAGCACTGTGGATATTGACACTGCGTGTGCACACACACACAAAAGGTTGGTTCTTCAAACTCTTAACTATGGGTAAGTGATATGAGGATTTCTGCAATTAACTTAGTTATTTTCTAATTTCACCTCTCCTTGTGGGCATTTCTCATCCATGCTGCTATAGTTTACTAATTGAGATATTTACTGCCTAGCCTTTGCCAAACTAAAAATAAACAATTCCATAAAGCTATCACTACTAGTCTGTGTACTGCTGTGGAACTTCAGCTCACTAGTTTCTAATTATAAAGCAACATAAGGAAAGCTTGTATTAAAAATGGTCAATGCATGTGGTTATGTTGTAGTATAAAATTCCTCAACGAAAATACACCCACACCTCACTCAAATGGAATCATCAGGGGTCCATGCTAAATGTGAAATAAGGTCTTTCCTGGTACTTCTAATAAGAACACCCTTCTGGATGTAGTCCAAGGTCTTGCTCATACTCAGTTCTAACGTTGTATACTGAAATAAATGGAGAGTCAGACTAGGCTCACTTTTTGCCTTTCCAGTCATACCATGCATTTTCTGGCCCTGGATCATGGCACATGTCTCTTCATCTTCTTGGAATTCCCCCCTACCCCCACCCCATGTTTTCAAAGACAACATCTCATCCCACTGCGACAGAACACTGACCTAGCCTATTGGGTCAATCTCCAACCACAGTGGCTCCTAAAGAGAGAAACTTCATAAGCAATTAGTACCTGAGGAATGTAAAGGACCTCATTTCTGGCAGCACTGCGGATATTGACACTGTGTGCACACAAACACACACACACACACAAGGTTGGTTCTTCAAACTCTATGGGTGATAGGAGGGTTTCTTCAGTGAAATGACTTAGTAAGAAAGATGTACATTACTCCTTTAAGGCATAGTTCAAAATTCTTCCTGTCACCTTTCTCTCTCCTAAATTAACTATTCTCTTCTCAATGACCTCAATATATATTGTGTGCATCCTACAAAGATAGTATTTATCACAATAGTTATTGCTTTACAGGTCTGTGTCCTTTTGTCATCTTTGTCTCTCTATACCCTGAGCCCAGTTCAGTACTTGCTTGGCACACAGGAAGTGGGCAGGAAATTTTAATTTTTAATTTTGAAGATGTCGGGTACAATTCAGGGTTAGGTATTCCCAAATGTTCATTATGCAGGTGCCCTTGTTAATGAGATGTGCCCCCCTCCCCTGGCAGTTTCCCACTACTGCCTATCCACCCCCACCCTCCTCTAGCAGTTTCTTCCTACTGACAATCCCTTTCCTATAGTATTATGATAATTGTTCAAGGTCCGCTTATGAGTGAGAACATGTGGTACTCAGTATTTTGTCTCTGTGATAGATCACTCAGTATCATAGACTCTAAGTTCATCCAAGTTGCTGCGAAGCTCATAATTTTGTCCTTCTTTCTGGCTGTGTAATATTCCATAGTGTTTATGTACCACATTTTTTAATCCAGTCCTCTTTCGATGGGCTGCCCAGTTGGTTCCATGTTTTTGCTACAGTAAATAATGCTGCAATAAACATGCATGTGCAGGTATCTTTTTTCATAGAGTGACTTGAGTTCCTCTTGGTATATTCCCAGTAGGGGATTGCAGGGTCATATGGAAGGTCGATTTTTAGATCTTCTAGGAATTTTTAATGATTGGATGTTCTTATATCCTTGCACAGGGAAAAGGAAGGCTGCAATCTTTAAGTGTAGCTGGAGAATCTGCTTAAGTCTCATATGAGGAGGCAAAAACTTTTGAAACATGTAAGAAAAGTGTGCCTGAAAGAGAATGGCTCTAGTGGTTTTGCCATCTGGAGACCATGCTGCTGAAGAAGTCAGCCTAAAAAGAGCCCCGTGGAGTATTACATGGAGTAACCATTGCCAGATCAGGCCCCTAGCTAGAGCAGGAGTTATAGGTAGGGTGACCTGGGGCTCTGAGATCCCTAACAATTAGGTGACCATAAATTCATTGTCTAAAATCAGTACCCATTTGAGAGTGAAAAGGAGCACTATTAATATGTAAACCAAAATAACAGTCATGACTGAGACTACCCACTGCAAACTGGGACTTATAGTTCTTCTAGTGTAATGGGGATTGCCAATCTCACCATCATGCTTAGAATGAGATGCTGCCTAATTATTGATATTCTGAATTGACTAGAGAGATGAACTGCTGTCTTAATTGTAGTCCTCCCTATAAAATAAAACAATTTAAAATAACTCTACCAAAAAATGTTGTTACACATCAACTTACATTTCTTGAATCCTTCTCCAACTTTCACTCTATTTGATAAACTACACATGCTATTTTTCATTGCTTAAAAGCATGAAATATTCTTGCTTTCCTACCTAATTTCCCTTCCTCCTCTTATGTTGCTTTCTCCTCTTGCAGGTTCTTTCTGACTTGGTAGGCTTTTTATAAAACTTCAGAATGTTAGAACTGAAAAGGAACCTCAAATGTATTTCATCAAACTCTCTTACTTTATAGATGAAAAAAAAACAAGCCTACAAAAACACCCCGAAGGGTCACAAATAATCTGAAATCTGTTCATAGTTGTGCAGCAAAATACTCCATACGAAAGTTGTAAAGGAAAAAACTACTAGAACATAGAAAAATGAGAGTCAATTCCAGCTGGGTGTGAGAGCCTGGTGAAGAACAGTCAAGCCAGTCTTCCCAGTTAGTTTTCTTTCAGTTCCCACTTAAAACATTAATGATCAGGCGGGCTCGGTGGCTCAGCCTGTAGTCCTAGAACTTTGGGAGGCCAAGGCAAGTGGATTGCCTGAGCCTGTGGGTTTGAGACCAGCCCAGGCAAGTTGGTGAGACCTTGTCTCTACAAAAAAAAAATTAGCCGGGCGTGGTAGTGCACGCCTGTAGTTCCAGCTACTGGGAAGGCTGAGGAGGAAGGATCGCTGGTTGACGCTGGGGTGGCCATGAGTGTACTACAGCACTTCGACCTGGGTGACAGAGTGAGACTCCAAATCAAAAAAAAAAAAAGATCTCCTTTAATCAAACTTGTATTTAGTCTTCTTTTAAAAAATTGGAATAAAAGCAATGGTGGTAAAGAATTTCTTGGTAGTTGTTAAAACGAGGGTAAAGGATTTATTCACAAGAGCTCAAAACCGGAAACAATCTAAACGTCCATCAACTGATAAATGAATAAATTGTGGTATAGACTTACAATGGCTAGGAAGCTTTGTTACTTACAATACCTCAAAAGCATTATATTTAGTTAAAAAAGCCATATTTTCCAGCCCGGACAACTTGGTGAGACCTCGTCTCTACAATAAATAAAAAATTGGCTGGGTGTGGTAGTGCATGCCTGTGGTTCTGCCTACTTAGAAGGCTGAGGCAGAAGGACCGCTGGAGCCCAGCAGGTCAATGCTGGTGTGGCCATGAGTGTGTCATTGCACTCCAGCCTGGGTGACAGAGTGAGATGCCAAAAAAAGGTCTCTAGAAAAGTAAACACTAAATGATAGAACATAGATCTGTGTTTCCAGGACTTGGAGGTAGAGAAAGGACATGAGAAAGCAAAAGGGAACAAGGGGACTTTGGGGGTTAATAGAAATGTTCTGTATCACAATTATGACAGTTCCACAACTGTATATATGAATATATTTGTCAAACCACATGTAACTACATACTTAAAATGGGTAACATTTTGTATATTTAAGTTAACCCTAATACAGCTAATTTTTAAAAGGAGCAAATGATTTAAAATAGGAATAGCCACCTTTATTCTCCAAATTATCCACATCACCCATAATCCATGCATACGAGAGAGATCCAAAAAACTTGGAATTTATTTATAAAAAATTGTGTATTTATTCTTACATGTTTAAACTTCAATCACCTTCAAAGTACTCTCTGTTTGATGCAATATACCTATTGAGACACTTTTTCTACTGCTCAAAAGTTTCTGAACTCATCAGTTTTGATGCCTTTTTGTGCTTCTGCCATTTTTTGTTTCACTTCTTCCATATGAGTGGAACGTTTCCCTTTGAGAATTTTTCTGGGGAAACAAAAATTAGTCGCTTGGGGCAAGATGAGTGAACAGAGAGGTTGGGGCATGGTACATCATGAACTGCTGAACACTCAGCATGGTGTGGACAGGTTTGCTCGTAAATCACCAATCATGAAATGGGTAAACGCCTTGAAA